CACCGTAAAAAAAAAATCCTTTCTTCATGTTGTCTCAAACCAAATTAATTACGTTAACTTAATTGTTTTGGATTGAACATAAATTTAATCAATGATTAAGTCGTCCCCAAAAAACTCAAGAATTTTGTTGATTCAGCTCATTTTAAGTAAGTAGTATGAACAAGCAGCAAAGTTTTTTTTTGAGCGTTCAATAAAATCTTTTCAGTGTGAATATGTTAAATTTATTATGTGTTAAACTTTATTATTGGTACTTCTAATATATCACTGATTCCACAGATGAAAATCAGAAAAATCAAATCACTGCTGAAAATTCACCACCGAATCACATTAATGAATTCAAATTGAAAGCATTTAAAAAAAATTATATGATTCAAAGTATTGTTGTTTCCATTGTATTATTAACCAAATGGGGTATATGCACACAGACTTTTTTATTTCAGCCAACCAGCCAGCCAGTCTTTCCATTATATACTTGCCACGTTTAAGGTCTGATTCTTTAAAAATCAGCAATCTTCACTGCCTGATAGATATACAATATAAAGTGGGTCTCAGACCGTACAAGCAGCCCTGCATCAACCCTTGTGTGCTGTTCAAACTGACTTTCCTTTTGTTATGTTCATGCCTGTTTTTGCCGCATTGACTTCCATTATAATGTCATGTTTTGATTGTGAAGCCATGACACCAAATAATCATGCATTCTTGATTGTTGGTGTTTTTCCCTGTTGGGAAGAGGTAAAACTTTTCATTTTTACTGTTGATCATCAGTTGGCAGCATTAAACCTTTAGACAGGCCTGTGCAAAAACAAAAAACTAAAAAAGTTTCTACACTTCATATAACCATATCCAGAAACTAGATTTTTTTTACACAGCAACTAATGATCAACAGTAAAAAATGTGTAAATGTATCTGTTCCCAACAGGGACAACCAGAAACAATCAAGAATGCATGATTATTTGGTGTCATGGATTTGCAATCAAAAAATGTGGGAATAATGGAAGTCAAAAGCAAAACCAGCCATGAACATAATGAAAGGCAAAGAATTTCCCTAAAATATACGTCAAAATAAGATTTGTCACCAAAAATCATACCATTTGCTGAAACACAGGGACAGTTGTGGCCAAATTAAGACTCAATGTCATCCCAAAGTGGATTAAAACATTCCAAACAGCACATACTGTAAGAGTTAAATTCCATTTCCTGCACCATGCCTTTAAAATGTGACAGTTTAATTTACCCCAGTATTTTCAATGAAGTTTTTACGCTCACCTGCTAATCCTGATGGCGTTAACAGTTACACAGACTTTTATCTTGTTTTACGCTTGAACAACTAGGTGAATGTATTGTAATTACTGTACATTACAACATTGATACTGTAAATGTAACCTAATGAAAATGAAAATAGTCACATTAAGCTTTGACCAGAAGCTTAACATTGGCTGAAAAACAGCTCTGCATATATCCCATTGTGCAGCCAAGAAGAAGTAGAAGAAGCTTTTTTTTTTCCAAAAATATCTTTAAAATTGTCACCTTTCTGAACTTCTGACCAGTTTGCAAAACACTTTTTAATAATGTCAATATTATATCTTGGTTGTAGGCAAGATGATAAATCATGCAAAATACAGAGTATTTGTTTTAATGATACTAGCTTTGTCTGAACTACTGTACAATTACAAAAAGCCTTTTGTCTTATAGCCTGTCTTAAAATAAAGAAAAACAGGAGATAAACATTCTGCAAGATCACAGAGTCGTGTAAACAGTTGTCATATTATTGCATTGTTCGTGTGACACGTTCAGTCTAATAAGAGTAATTAACCAAGCCTCTCAAAACATCTTGTGACAGAGTCATTTGGGTAAACAAAGAGTAAACTAATTATCATAGTGAGTGACAGATGCGTACTCTCACACAATGACAAAAGACGGCATTTAGATGGAGCGTCCAGCAATATCAGTCAGGGTCTGCACTAGGGGTGGTTGTTGCTGGTGTAATTTTATGGAGGGAATGAGCCAAACGAAATCCAATTTACCCTGGTAAAATTGCTCTGAGCAAAAGATAGGAGGGAAATAGTGAAAAGGGGAAGGAGGTTTACCTCATTTGTCACTGTACTGTCCAATCACAACACTTCACAAGATGGCCGAATAGCCACACTGTTCCAGTCTGCGCCTCAGAGGAAATGCACAAACAACATAAAACTTCACCCTTTTGGCCCAAGGTTGATTGAATAACATTTCTGTTATCATTCAGTGGGGAGAAAGTATGAAATGTTGCTCAGCTGATTCCTGCCACAATACAATGTATATTCAAGGCAATATTGACCCTGTGTTGGCGGAAAGGAGACCAGGATAAGCAAATATTTTAAAAGTGCAGAGGAAAAGAACTGAAATGAAGGGCTCGCATTTCTGCTTCGAGCAACTTTTTGCACTAAAGCAGGGTGTTTCTGTGAGTAAAAACAAAAACGGGAAAAAGATACAATGTGAAAAATCACTTCCGTGCACTGTATTTTTGTATTGTTTTTCAGTTAGAAAAAAAAGAAAACATTTATTTGAAGCAAAATTAAGAATTAGGTTTTAAGAAACATCTTACTTTAAATGGTTAGTTCACCCAAAATTTGACAATTCATTCATTCATTCATTCATTCATTCATTCATTCATTTTGCTTTGGCTTAGTCCCTTTATTCATCAGGGGTATCCACAGCAGAATGAACCGCCAACTTATCCAGCATATTTTTTACGCAGTGGATGCCCCTTTCAGCTGCAACCTATCCCTGGGAAACACATATACAAACTCATTCACATTCCGATGCAGTCTGATGCTTTATCTAAAATTCCATAGCTACCCTAATTATATGTATTCTCCTGTCACAAAAAAAATCAGTTTTAGTATTGCTTCTATCACAAAGCAGTCACTAAATATGCAGGCTTGTAACCAAAGGGGGTTGGGTGGTTCGGAAGATCCTCCCCTTATTGACAAAGGTCCAGAATTTGTCCCAAAATAAGCTAATTTGTTCTATATTGATGGCTATGCCATCATAAATAGTAAAAACAGCCAATAGAAAAAGGCTTTAGGACCAAGTGGGATCCTCTCTTGGGTGTAGCTTCGGCTTGACTTCAGCTAACTAGTTTTGGCCAATGCAAACAAATATTTTTCATGAGACCAACATCCAGCTGTGCAAGAAAACATGCTATCGGACATAAATGAAGTCATCTTTCACCACTGTTTTGTTTTTAAGTAGAGAAAATATTTTAGTAACTTTTATTCTAAATCTTTGAATGACTTTTTATTGAAATGGACAAATTATGACTGAGGAAAATTGAATGTGCTGGCCAGTTTGTTATTTGCCTAATAAATGACAATAGGCAACATTTTTTAATTTAAAACTTTAACAGAGTCCTATATTTTTTCTAATGATGTATGGTGTAATTAATTTGCATTTTAAAAATAATCTATTATAAATCTTTAGGAAATATTTGGAACATCAGAAAGTGTGGATATGATTACCATTCGACAAGCAAATTAAGCTAAAAATAGTGCATAAAATGTCACTAAAATGCTGTATTTAAATCTCATAACTAAATAGAAAATGAGGTGAATAACTGCATAAGGTCCACTTTTTGAGAAAAAAATAACCACCCCTTTCACCAGGCTGGCTACGAGCCTGATATGTAACCTTGACTACCACAACTTTCCAGCATGTATTGTCAAGATCACAAGTAAATTTCACAATATAAAACTCGACTACTGAAATACATTGTCCAATTTGTTTGGAATGGTTTTCAAAAACATCAAATGATACCCAATTTATGAAGGTTAATCAAAATATGTGAGGATAAAAAAACAATAAATAACACAAACGCAACATGACGAATGAACACTGACAGTTAACAAAATAATAGATCTACAGTATAATTCAAGTGAAAAAAGATCATTGAAAAATAATTTTATTAGCATAGATGAAATGAGGCAAAAAAAAAAAAAAACTAACTAAAAAGGTTTATGAGTCTTGCACCATGTGTAATTCTCTATGTCTATAAGCTGGTTTCTACTTCTGCGTGGACTGATCAGTGTGACCCACGGCGCATGCCTTGCCATGCATTTATACTTCTGCATGTTGTTAGTGTTGCACTGCAATAACACTTCCAAAACGCTAGCTGGCAGTGAGGTTTTTATGTTCCTTTGTGTCGAGTTTCTTCCCTAGTGTTTTGTTTTTTTCTGAACGCTACCTTAATGTACAAGTAACTAAGGCCATACTCACACTAGGTACAGTTGCCTCAAACCAGGCCAAAGCACGCTTGTCCCCCCTCCTGTCTCCCCCATTGGCCCGCACTTACACTATCATCAAGCCTGAGCATGCTTACGTCATTGATGCGGCGCTGTTCAGTAGAGAAGTGCTCTCGCTCAGCACAGTGGATATTTCTCTAGTTATATTGTTTCAGTCGTTTGATATGTGGTGACACGCAGTCAGATTTTTCGCCGAACAGATCCGCCACTTTTAGCGCTCATAAACAATTATAAAGCCCTCGTGCTGCAGGAATGAGGAGGTCTGCTGAAGGTGCGCATCTGTCGTGCAGTGAAAGATTTGCGTCTTTAATCTAGGGCAGTTTGCGTTCACTGAACAGTAAGAATGATTAATAAATCCATATGAAACAGTCCCTTAAAGTCACGTCTCGCTTTCAGTTTCAGCTTTGGCGCGTTTTGCACTCACACTACAAACATACCGCGCCAAAGCCCAAGTGAACCGCGCTCAGGGCCACCTCTTCCAACCGGGCCAGGGCCGGCCAAGTGAACCGTACCTGAGCCCGATTCAGCACACTCACACTTTTCAAATGATGCGGGAAACGGGCCTGGGCACGGTTCGGATAGCATAATGTGAGTAGGCCCTAAACCTCTCTCATTCTGGAGCAGGAACCGGTGGATGCAACAATTTTAATCATAAGGTAAACACAAAACAAAAGTTTCCATCTTGAGCTTCTTCATGGGACTCAACACTTGTAAACACTCGCTCCAACAGGTTCACACAGCTCTCACCACTACCAAGCCGACCAATCACAAAGCTTGTGCTACTCGTCATTTAAACTTTTGTGAGGTGAGCATCGGCGTCTGCCATGGTGAGGGGTATGCGACTGCGCAAAGGCTACAACGGACCATACAAGTACACTTGATGCAGAAGTATAAATCAACCTTAACACACACACACACACACCCACGCTATACACTAATACAGACATTTTGGCTGATATTGACATACCGATAAGTCAATAAATAAAAAAATGAAGCCTGAATACTAAAACCAAAAACAAACAAAAATACAGTGGACTACTGTTTTTACTTTAAACCGTAACTTAAGAAGATATGGAACAAAAATAACAAATTCAAGGACAAAGATCTTTCCTTTCCCAAAATCATTTGAAAACATCTAGGTATAAAAAATTCCTAAAGTACCAACATCTTGCCTTTCCTCTAGCGTAAACTCTTCTAAGATGTAGAATGATTGCGTGTGATTTGAAATAGTCCATAATTCATTGCTCCGTATTGATAACATTAATTCCAATATGGTTGTTGATGTATCGTGTATCACTAACGTGTATATTTATGAAGTCTTTATTGTGTGAATATTTGATGTCAGAATGCCAAAACTGTCTGAGTTTGATCCTATACTGCCTTAAGATGCACCGGATGAATAAATAAAGATCTCTCAGGTAAGAGCGAATAAATAATTTAGGAATCAGAATAAATAAATAGATAAATAAACATATGCTTGTGCCTTTAGCTACGCTTCAAAAAGTCTTCATTGACTGGCACCTTGTGTAGTCCAGAGGCTTATACTTCTAATGATAAGCCATTCCTTCTGATTGGCTGTTACCACAATGCGAACGCACTCGATATCAAACGCTATCTTGTGGTCCACATCGTGAACCTCAATGTTTCCATTTTTGAACTCTCCTAAAGTTATATAGGAGGAGCACTGCCTTCCCTTTTTGGTTCCTATTAACTTCTCTCCAACTTCCAAAGCTCCATGATGCAGAATATCATTCTGGCGATCATCGGTTCCCGTGATGATCTTGATTTTACTGATTTTTGTCGCCTTGTTGAATACTATAACATAAAAGTCCCCGGTGGACGGTGCCTTGCCCCAAAAGTACTCGTCCACGCTACTGTATGCTTTGGCAGCATCATAGCTCTCAAATACATTTATGTTTGTGTACAAACTAGCAGGTGGGTTGTCTGGGATATCGAGAGAGTCTTCCTCGAAGTCATCGTCCTTGAGTTTGTTCTCTGCCCCCTTATACGAGGAATAGTAGCCCATGTGTTGGAAAAGCGAAGGCTTGAAGCGAATCGCATCCTTCTGGGCCAGGAGGCCTCTGAAATGGATAAGAAGCCAATCACAAGGCATCTCCTGATAGAACATGAGCAGAAAATGAGCAAGTCTAGGAAGGTCTCGTGAGTGGTACAGCTTTCCTATGTAGCCCAGTTTGGAGAACTCCAGCATCACCCAGTATGAACCCTCCCGGGACGCCACAACTTTCTTTAGGGCGGTGAGGAAGTTTCGGGAGCAGCGCACATCGTCCTCCAGCATCATGTAGAAGTCTGATAGATTGGTGCAGAAGTTGAGCAGAAAGGCGTAATCTACGTTTTGTTTGGACCTGAAGCGAACTCTATCCTCAGGATCATTGTAATTTCTCTTCAAACCATCCAGGGATGGGTAGTACTCCTCAGGTGCATGGATTACAAGCAGCCGTCCCGCAATGATATGGTGGCCGAACTTTCTGGAGATTTCTTGAACTAGGCTCTCACACCACGCAAGGTCGAAATCTGCCAGGTGGACAACAACAATGATCTCTTTGAGCTCCTCATAGCTTGACTGGTCGAAAATAGACTTAATGGTCTCCAACAGGTAATTTCCTCGTTTTCTTTTCACAGATGACAATCCAATGGTGAGATACTCTGCAAAAGAGCACAGGAAATCATTGAGCAAGCGAATGCTATTGATTTGACACATTGTCTATAAGGTGAATACAATCCAGTACAAACACAGAAAAATCTTTAAATCTGTTTGAAAAGCAAGCCCTTACAGAAAATACACATGAGCTTCACAGGTGCCAGTATTTTGATTTACGAATGTTTAATGTACCAGAAAATAAAACAAATACGGAGGAAGATTTATCTATTTTTTTGCTTTAAATTGTACATTCTTAATTTATACTTCCCTTTAAACATATTTTCCCAGTGAAAATTATATATAAATATTCTAACAACAAGATGCCTTTACTTGAACCAAAATTAAGTAAAACAGTATTTCGTAACCTATACGTGTGTGTGTGTGTGTGTGCGCGCGTGTGTGTGTGTGTGTACACACACACACACACATGTATGGGTTATGAAATACTGTTTAACCTAATTTTGTAATTTACTTAATTTTGTTATATGTAATTTCTTAATTTATGCATAAACCTTACTCGTTGTATGCATTGTACGAACCAAGAAAATGGTAATGCGATAAATTTATTTATTTTCTGTCAAGTCAATGTATCAGATTTGTATCAGAAAAGACAATTAACTAAATGCACTTGATATGCAAAAAAATAAATGAAAAAATATTTATACATAGTATATATACACTCACCGGCCACTTCATTAGGTACACCTGTCCAACTGCTCGCTAACGCACATTTCTAATCAACCAATAACATGGCAGCAACTCAATGTATTTAGACATGTAGACAAGGTCAAGATGATCTGCTGCAGTTCAAACAGAGCATCAGAATGGGAAAGAAAGGTGATTTACTTGACTTTGAACATAGCATTGTTATTTCAAAAACTGCTGATCTACTGGGATTTTTACGCACAACCATCTCTAGGATATACAGAAAATGGTCAGAAAAAAGAAAATATCTAGTGATAGGCAGTTTTGTGGATGCAAATGCCTTGTTGCTGCCAGAGGTCAAAGGAGAATGGCCAGACTTGAAAAAACGTTACGTGGTCGGATGAGTCTCAACTTCTGCTGCAACATATGGATGGTAGAATCAGAATTGGGCATCAACAACATGTAAGCATGGATCCATCCTGCTTTGTATCAACGGTTCAGGCTGGTGGGGAGGTCTACTGGTGTGGGGGATATTTTCTTGGCACACTTTGGGCACATTAGTACATTAGTGTCAACACCACAGCCAACCTGAGTATTGTTGCTGACCACATCCATCCCTTTATGACCACAGTGTTCCCATCTTCTGATGGCTACTTCCAGCAGAATAATGCGTCATATCATAAAGCGCGAATCATCTCAGTCTGGTTTCTTGAACATGACAATGAGTTCACTGTACTCAAATGGCCTCCACAGTCACCAGATCTTCACCTTTAAGATGTGGTGGTATGGGAGATTTGCATCATGGATGTGCAGCCGACAAATCTGCAGCAACTGCATGACGCTATCATGTCAATATGGACCACAATCTCAGAGGAATATTTCCAGTACCTTGTTGTATCTATGCCATGAAGGATTAAGGCAGTTCTGAAGGTAAAAGGGGGTCCAACCTGGTTCTAGTAAGGTGTACCTAATAAAGTGGCCGGTGAGTGTAGGTAAAAAATGCCATTTTGGTGTCTGCATCAGATTATATTTAAAAAATTTTATTTTTATTTTTGTGAACACATGCACATTACATGTAGTGGCTACCGTAATGTTTCAAATAGGATTTGTAAAAAAAAAAAATCAGCTTTCAGCCACAACTTATTCTAACCTGTGCTTATCAAAATATCTAAAAATAATTAGTGATGAAAAACACTGGGATCTATTTAAATGCTAGATCATAAAACATGTTTTTTGCAGCTGTATTTTCTACTGCTTGTTTAGAAATCGTTGACAGCATGTGTATGTGGCAAATATCAAAATAAAAAAGCAAATGCAGTCTTACTCTTTCTGGGTAAAGGTGTTCCTGCGAGGTACCGATAAGTCACATTGATTGTTCCAGAAAAATTGGTGATGTCTTTAAAGGTGTGAACATATCGCTCTGAGTTCAGCGGATGCATTGAGGTTTCTCGCAGCTGACGTTTATCTTCCTCCTGAAACACATGACATTCAAGACAGACAGATCGCAGCATAAGCTTTGAGCCTCAAAGCTAGAAAGAGTTTTCTAATACAGGATTATATGTACATGAGATGCTAAGACTCCTCTTGCATCTTTAAGTGTAAGCGCTGCAGGTCATTATTTTTAGATTTGCCAATTTTCCTGCACACTCTTGTATAATCTCATTAAATCTAAATGATGGCCTTTGAATAATTAATTGTACACACAATATTACTCACACAACTTATCTAGTATTAAATGATAGCATCGTTAATATACCTCAATGTCTTTTTAACCACACATGAACTGTTCACACTTTTTCTGTCTGTGATAGTGTTTGTATTTCAATTAAATGGGGGTTATTTAGAAAAGTGACTCAGTCAAAACGGGTACAACTTTTGAATAATTCAACAGACAAACACACGCGACATGTTATGATCACAAAGTTTTGATCATAAAGTTGGCCTCATGAATAATAAATGAGTCTCTTGCATTTGGACTGCCTCTACATCATGCAATTTTAAATAGGCTGCATCGTGAGCTCCGATAATTATACATGCGCAACACATCACCGGCAGCCTTACACGCAACATTTGGTAATTAAAGCATATAAACAAAATAACTTTTCAGCACAGAGATAATTAATGCTAACTCACACACAAACAGCAGTAGTCAAGTTGTTGTGAAGCCCACTATTGTCTTGTTATCTGCTCCAGTGATGTTGTAAATAAATTGACCTTTGTAATTTACCTGCTGGATCGCAACAGGTAAACACACTCACCAGCACGTAGCCGTCCTCGATGTAGAGATTTATGAAGAGCAGGAAGGTAATGAGAGCCACCAGGAAAGGAATGGTGGACCGTTTTCGGAAACACCTCATCTTATCCAGGTACTTTAACACCAGTCTCATGATGGAAACAATTCTGGTGTAATCTGGCAGAAAACAGAAAAAAAAAATACTGCATCAGGATGTATCATTAGTGTTAAGTTTGACAGATGATGGTCTGAGCACGGACCCCGCTATGCTTTTTTGAGCTCGATATAATTGTGACATTCAAAATAAAAAAACAAAAATGCGACCTGAGACAGAAAATTACTGCGGTATGTGAAATGAAGTCAAAGTTTTACAGCTGAAATGAGAAACTAGCCAAGTTCCTCAATTTGATTTGATGCAGAGCTGCAATTTGAAGATGAAGACAGGGAAGAAATAAGCATGCTGTAACTATCATTATACAACGGAAAGGCAAGTGAAAAAACAGTTTATGGATAGATGCAGGAATTGACTGTTTATAAGCAGAAAATTAAGCTGAAAATACAGTTTAAAAAGCTAGGATGGGTAGATGGATAGATCAACTGATCTGAACTAAAACTTCAAGTCAAAAGCAGAACAAAAAGTGTCAAAATTGTTTGGATTAATTGACAGATTGACTGATTTTAACTGGGAAATTAAGTCAAAAGTACAATTTTAAAAGCTAGGCTGGGTGGATGATGGATCAACTGATTTTACCTAAAACTTGAAGTCAAAATCAGAATAGAAACTTAAAAGGCTCTAAAAAGGCTGGATGAATGGATAGATGAATTCCAAATTATAATGGAAATACACAAATTAAATGATTTTAACTAAAACTTCACGTCAAAAGCAAAACAAAATCGATTGATTGAACTTTAATGAGAAAATCAAGTCAAAATTAAAACAAAAGTGCAGTTTAATGGGACAGATGGATGAATGGATGGATGGATGGATGGATGGATAGACATTAAGAAAATAAAAAGCAGTGGATTGATTGTTTTTAATAAGAAAATTAAGTCAAAAGTACAATTCAAGAAGCCTGAATAGGTGGATGGATGTATGGATAAACCAATTTGAACTACATTTTCCAAGTCAACAGCAGAACAAAAAGACATTTTTATAAATGGATAAATTGAATATTTTTAACTAAAAAAGTTGCTTAAAAAGCTTGGATAGACTGATTGATTAATTTTTAATGAGAAAATCAAGTTGAACGTTAAACAAAAGCAGTTTAGATGGATAGCCAGATGGACAAATGGATAAACAGAACATTAAGCAAATCAAAAGAAGTTTATTAACTGTTTTAATCAGAAAAAATAAGTCAAAAGTACAGTTAAATAAGCTTGAATGAGTGGATAGATTGATCAACCGATTTGAAATTAAACTTTAAGTCAAAAGCATAACAAAAACAGCTGAAAATGGCTGAATAAATGGATAATTTTAACTAGAAAATAAATTAAATAAATACTAGTTTAAAAAGTATCAGTGGATGGATGGATGGATTGATTCATTATTTATTGATTGATTGATGTTTAATAAGAAAATCACGTCAAATGTAAATCAAATCCAGTTTAGGATGGATGGATGGATGAACAAACCGACATTATCCAAATCAAAAGCAGTGGATTGACTGGTTTTTAACCAGATAATTAAGTCAAAAGTATGGTTTAAAAAGCTTGGATGGATTGATTGATTGATTGATTGATTGATTGATTGATTGATTGACTGATTGATTGACTGACTGACTGATGAGAATATCACCCCAAAATGAAGCTGTTTTGATGGATGGTTGAATAAATATATGGATGGATAATAACATAAAGTGAATCCAAAGCACAATGAGAACGTTTCTTCTTTGTTTTTAATGAGAAAATCAAGTCAAAAGTAAAACAAAACAAGTGGATGGATGGATGGATGGATGGATAGATAAACAGGCATTGACTCAAAAGCTGTGGATTCACTGTTTTTAACCAATTTTAAATAAGTACAATATAAAAGCTTGGATGGATGGATGGATGGATGGATATGTGGATTGATTGATTGATTGATGAGAATATCACCCCAAAATGAAGCTGTTTTGATAGATGGATGGATAAATAAATAAACAGACATAAAGTGAATCCAAAGCACAACAAAACAGTTTAAAAAGCCCAGACAGAAATGATCACATCTTTATTCAGGGGAAACTGTCATCAATTTCTGGCTGTGTGTGGGGCAATCAGAGTAGCATTTCTTTTAGTATACAAGACAGGGCATTCACTTTAAGGTCACACTAAAAATAAGCGGCAGCTTTGTGTGCCTCTAAGCCTAGTAATTAACCCAAGAACGATGTAGGTATAATACAAACTTGAGCTGAAAAACCCGCTGTGAGGTTAATATTCCGACCCTACTCACCAGGCATTAGCAAAGTATGTGCTCTGTGCCCAAGTCCTTTTGCTTCGCCCTTTCACTGCGTCAAGTACAAAGTGTGGTTCTTAAGAGCTATACTGCAAAATGGCATTTCAACTTCAGCTATCTTCATCTGATGATGAATAGCTGGAGTGACTGAAGGAAAAAAACAAAACAGTTCAACTATGTGCATGTAATAGGCCCCAGGCGCACTTTTATTTCTAACCTCAAATTACATAGAGTATTCCAAGAATAGAAAGAAGCTTTCGTGTATCAGCCTTTTTGATGGCTCCTGCTAAGTACCTCAGACCACTAATGGAATAACTTTACAGCAGATTCCATGATCAAATGTGTATTGATTCTGTTCACCTCCAACATGTTTCAACTGAGAATTTTCAAGTCAATAATCAACATGTACTGCTTGCTTCGACCTATAAAGTAGTGAACACATCAAGGTTTTATTAAAAAGTTTGGGAAATTAATCCTGATATTCAGTAAGACAGCATTAAAATAAAAGTGAGAGAATATGTTTTGCTACTGATACAAAAAGTGTATCAGAATTTGATAATCATTCAAGAAAGCCTAAACATTAAGCAGTATTCAACACTGATGCTGTAAAAATAAGAATTGCAAGTTAGAATATTTCTGATGAATGGAGTAATGGCTGTGGAAAATTCAGCTTTGCCATCAATGTCATAAATTACATTCAATTTTGTTTTAATTTAATATTACGCAAGAGGTACACAAATTAAGATCACATACAAATGGATAAAACAGAATAAAACAACAACAACAACAACAAAGAACTGATGAGAAATCAAAATATCTTAAAAAATGACAGAAGTCGGGTACTGGCAGGCCTGTTTGTTTGTGTGTGTGTGTGTGTGTGTGCATGTAAAGGTAACTGGGAGTACATAAATAAGAAAATTATATATATATATATATATATATATATATATATATATATATATATATATATATATATATATATATATATATATATATATATATATATATATACATACACACACACACTAGAAATTAATATAGGTCACACATATCAGTAAGTGAAGCAAAATAACATAGATATAAATAAAACAGATACAAACATAAAATGATAGTAATAATGACAACAAAAAAGGACAATATTAGTAGTAATAAAGTACTAAACTGGGCTTCACGGTGGCGCAGTGGGTCAGCTGGCATTTCTGTGTGGAGTTTTTTTTTTATTTAGGGGTGATTTTTGATATCAACCTGTCATTTGAAGGCCAGATTTCAAGCATCTGTAAAACTGCATTTTTTTATGTTAAAAATGTTGCCAAACTTCGACATTTGCTATCAATGTCTGATGCTTATATGGTTAACAATGTCTGATGCTTATACATTTCCAAGCTTATTTATGCTTTCATGACCTCTCGATTAGACAATTGATGGCCTAATTAACAAACTTCAGCTAGTTCAAGATGGAGCTGCTAGAGTGCTTTCTAGAACAAAGAAATATGATCATATTGCTCCAGTGCTTTCATCATTGCATTGGCTCCCTATTAAATATTTTATAAATTTGAAAATTTTATTGACTACCTACAAAGCCCTGAAAGGCAGACTTTGAGGGAGTTCCTGGTGTATTATACAGTAGCCCCTCACTTCCACTATGCTTAATAATTCTAGACAATTGATTATTCCCCGGAATATCAAAATCAAGGTGGTAGATCTTTCTCAAACTCTAAAACAGCCTTCCTAGCATACACATAAAACACAAATGCTTCTGAAATCCAAATCTTCTAAGGTATTGTTAGTCTGCATTATTTAGGGCAACAGGAGCCGGGAACACTTCCCAAAAGGCATTATAATTTAAACGGCATCTGCACTTATGTTAGTCTGTTTTAATTATTCCTGAGGTTTCCATAATCTTGGACCAGGCCGTATTCTGAGTAGCTGCTGTGGCGGTCATGAAGAAGTGGACTGATTCATTTAAGAAGACAGATGAGTCTTCACGTTGATCTTGAAGGGCCAACCTGTACACCAGATCTACATAAGCCTGCACCTTCACGATGGACGTCCAGTTTTCTCTAGCCTCCGGTGCCTAAACTGGGCCTGGTTTCTCTCAAGGTTTTTTTCCTTCACTTTCGCAAATTGGTTAAATTTGTTTCTTGCCGCTGTCGCCACTGGCTTGCATGGTTTGGGAATTGTGGAGCTGCACGTCGATGGATTTTCTCTTCAGTGTTATAACTTTCAGCAGTGAAAATTAGACCACACTTAACTAAACTGAATCTCAATTCTGAAAACTGGACTGACACAGTTTCAATTTACTATAATCTTCTATGTTCAGCTGCTTTGACACAATCTACATCGTAAAAGCGCTATAGAAATAAAGATAAAGATGAGTTTGCATGTTCTCCCCATGTTAGCGTGGGTTTCCACTGGGTGCTCCGGTTTCCCCCACAATCCAAAGACATGAGGTGAATTGAATAAACTAAATTGGCCGTAGTTTATGTGTATGTGTAAGTTGTAGGTTCATTTTGCTTTGGCGACCCCTGATTAATAAAGGGACTAAGACGAAAAGAAAATGAATGAATGAACAAGTACTACACCAACTAGAGGTCTGCATGAATAAATTTCAGAATAAAGAGCGGAAGCGGTCAGTAACTAATGTAATTTTGGACGGGAGCGAGCGGTTTAACAATATCGCTCCCGACTCCCGAGCGAGCGAGCATGCATATGTGTGTGTGAATTTAGCTTGTTTGTTGCTGTCTAT